CTTGGTCGTCTTTCTGAGAAGGCAGAATATATCTTACTAATTTAAATTAGCTGAATATATTTAATTAATTTTAATAATTATGTAAAATTTGAAAATTTTAAATTTATATTAAAAATATAAAATTTCTTATGAAATAATTATAGATATTAAAAAAATATAAGTATTCATATTGATTGAAAATAATGTTTTTGAAATTTAAACTTTAATTTTTTAATGAGAGTTAAAATTAATATACATTGTCTTATTTTAATTGTAATATTTTTAGAAAATAATATATATTAGTTTTAATTTTCATAAAAAATTATGATAATCTTTAAGTATAATACCATATAGAATTATAAACTTATAATTATAATGTGACATTAAATGAAAATGACATGTAATTAAATAAATTAATACATAAAATATTATAGATTAACCCTTAAATGAAAAAAATCACTTATATAATGATATTATTTTTTTTTTAATATTAGTTGCATAATAAAAAGTAATTATTTCTTATCATTTATCTCATCCCACTCGCATGATATGCGACTCGAATTTAAAAGATCTTATTTCTAACAGAAAGAGATGATTACTGAACTATTTGGATCGCTAAAACTTATATAATTACATCGTTAATAATAAAAGTAACATCTTGCACGCATTGACCATTTGACCATTTAACATCGTCAGGGATATGAGAGAAAATAAATATTACCCATGTATCTAATTATATTGGTCATTTTACCATATTGATAGTGTCCGCCCCAGAAGTGAGTTTGCGATGACCCAAGTACCAAAAACATATGTGATGACGCAATTAAATTTTTTTTTGAATATAGCGCAGCTGGGGGAATGGAGGAATGGGACCAGAGCTTGAATCCTGCCTGTTGGTGCCACCACTTCTTTTCCAAAGAGTTACGGTCATTGGGCCACACGGTGGTTGGCGAGACCAATTAAGTTTAGCTGTATTCTACATAACCCCTGCAGGCTGCATCAGCATAGCTAATGAATTATTCGGTCATACAAGACATAATCATATCATCACCCAGCAACAGTTCAGCATTTACCCCAAATCCAAAACAAGCTCATGGATTAGGCTAAAGGCTTTGGTTGTGGCCCCATGGAGAATTTTTAAGGCAACAAATACCATAATTGTATTTTTTTATTATTAAAAATAATTAATC